TGCCCAACATCGAATTTTTCCCTGGGACACTGCGATCTGCAACAAAGTGAGATTTTATCAGCCACTGTTTGCCAAAGACGCCTCTGACGATGTCAGGCGCACGGCTTTTGATTCTACTCACTCCTCTTTGGGGGATTGTGGTTTTGAATTGTGGACGGACGGTTCTTCATATCTCGCTGCACTCGCATCTGGATCCGCTGCGCTATTATATGACTCCACCACGACAAATGATCTCCCTGTGGAGGTACATCGTGCAGCAGCTGGCAGCCTCGCATGCTCATATAGGGCAGACTGCCTTGCGATCGAAAATGTTTTTAGACATCTCATACCTCCTTGTCTGGGAACATCCCAATCGCCCACACGAATGCTGGAGGAAACGGACTTCCTCTCGGCAATTGAGGCACCCCGCGTTGCCCACCGACCGTGCAAGACCGCGTTACTGAGCAAATTTGGATTATGCTGCTTTTCTTGGTGGAGCGAGGTCACCCTGTGGATTTTATATTTTCCCATCACACTGCGGTATTCCACGCAATGAGGCCGCTGAGGACGAAGTCACGATTGCACGATCCCTCTCGCAGGACTGCGTCAGTGCCTGGCACGTGGACTTCCTTACCGCCGTCAAGAGGTTATAATGGAAGGATGTCCAGGAGGAAAAGGGAGCCGCGCACACCGCGTGACAGGCGCCTGTCGGTGTGGCGAGGACTCTGTTCCTGGTGTTGACCCGGACATCGGTTCCCGAGTGGCGGCACAGCGCACAGGCGCGATGCGACTCCTGCCCACTCCTCGACAGGCCTGCACGCGCCCTGCGGATCACAAGGAATCCTCTGTGTCGGTGGTGCCGTCCCTCCCTCACTGCGGTGACCGGCCCGCCTCTGCCTCCGCCGGAACCTCTTCCCGACGTGAGCACCGCAACCCCTTGTCGACCAGCGAGCGGCGGATTGACGTCCTCCTGCCCGATCTGCAGCAGAGTTCACTTGTCCGTCCACAGTATGAGGGCACATGCCCGACGTGCTCAGCCTGGCGTTATAATAGTTTGCGAGAGCCTCCCATGCGGATGCCACAATGGCGCCACCGTCTTCTTAACAGGTGCCTCGCGCGCAGGTCGCCACCGAAGTTGCCAAGCATGCCAGCAGGCAAGACACGCAGGAAGCACAAACGCGGGTACTCGAGATGGACCAGGCTCTTCCGCCACCGCCTCATCACAGACGCCACGGGCCGCTGATTCCCCGACGGAACACGGGAGACTCTGCCTCATCCACTGCGGGAATGCCCTCGTTGGGAATTGGGACTGCGACTGTTTGTGACTGCCCAGCCCGCACGACGGCCCGTTTGCGACGGAATACTTGCCACTTCTGTACGGACGGCCCTTGCGCTACTCACTCGTTATTGTAGCAGCATACAACCAAAACAAGATAATAAGCTGTTTTTGTGGTGGATATTGGCTGCACTTCCCGTGGACCAACAATCCACGTGGTGTGCGGGGATCTTCTTTTTTTATTGTTACTTTGCTTTTGTGTTGCTGTGTGCGCTGCACCTTCTTGTGTGTGTGTGCGCACCCTCCGTGAGGGGTGCAGACGCGACGGACCGCTCTTGCCGCATGTACATGCGGTGGTGCCTTGTGTGCCGCTCCTGTTTGCTTCTCCCTCTTCCATCTGTGTGTTGGTGTTGCGGCAGGGCTGTGTGTGTGTGTGCCTGCTGCCGTGGATTGGAGTGTGTGTCGTGCGTGGTGTGCGGCGTACGGTGCATGCCTGGCTGCTGCCCTCTCCTCATGTGGTGTGCTCTCTCTGTGTGTCTGCCGCACCTCTCGTCTCCCCTGTTGCTTTCCATTCCCCTCACTGTGCAGATCAGCTCCACACCACTGAACGACCACACTCACGATGATGATGACGTGCCGTCTGCTGTGCGCCCTGTTGTTGCTTGCCCTGTGCTGCTGCCCGTCCGTGTGCGTTTCAGAAATTCAGCCTGCCGCTTCTTCACAGACGAATAAAGCACCGGCACCAACTAAGCCTGAATCTCCTGAATCCGTCACCGGTGAATCGACTCCTGCAACAGAGGGAGCACCACAGGGTACCGGTCAGCCAGGGTCATCAAGTAAGGGGTCCGCTGCGGAGCACGGAAATACTGCCGGAGATGCGGGAAGTTCGCCCGGTCCGCATCCGCAATCAAGTGGTGCGCATAATACGGTACAAAGAGAAGGTACGGAAGACACGTCAGGGACAAAAAACCGCACTCGTACATCCACAGAACATGCAAATAAGAATGTCGACGATCCTGCCGAGACCACAACGACCACCACCACAAAGGCACCAACCACGACGACCACCACTGCGCCAGAGGCACCAAGTACTACGACTACAGAGGCGCCAACTGTGTCGACCACCCACGCACCGTCACGTCTTCGCGAAATCGACGGCAGCCTCAGCAGCTCTGCGTGGGTGTGTGCCCCGCTGGTGCTCGCCGCATCCGCGCTGGCGTACACCACTGTGGGCTGAAGAGGTGTGTGCGGGCTGTGCGTGCCAGCACCCAACCGCGGGGATTTGTTCGCGTGTGTTGTGGTTCACTGTATAAAATAAGAGAAAATAATGATTGTGTTTTGCTTCACTTGCTTCTGCTGCCGTGCTGTGTGCTTCGCGTTGTGCCCCGCATCCGTCACGTTGAACGCATCGCGGACACACTCATACGTATGCGCACTGGAGCCCTGGGTTTGTTTTTCTTTTCTTTTTAATTTCTGTTTTTTAATTATTGTTTTTTATTGCTTTTTAAACTTGTGGTTTGCGGGGCGGTGTGCGAGCTCTGCAATCGTACTGATTTCATCTGTCTCGTGGTGTGTGCGCTGCTGCTGCTGGGATGCTGCCATTTGTTGCTGTGCGGTGGCTGTGCGTGGTGTAGCGGCTGTGTCTATCTTTTTGCTTCCCTCTCTGTTGACGGAGAGTTACTTTTGCTGAAGGCTGCACGCAAGTGACAGGAGTGATGGCGATGATGACTGGCCGTGTGCTGCTGGTGTGTGTCCTCTGAGTGCTGTGGTGGCGATAGCGGTACGGGTGAGTATTCGCTCTCGCGGTGGCATGCTCAGCTGCGGAGGGATTGCGCGATGGATGGCCGCAGAAGGACAGGAGGAAGGGCGAATGTGTCCGCCGTGGAGGAATGCGTGCGTAATTGGATGGCCGTCGTCGTTGGAGGCGTCAAGGGATTGCTGTTGCTGCTGACACCGCTGAGGATAAGGGGGTATGCTGCAATCCAATGAACACTCAACGAGATGCGTCACCAGCCGCGTAGATCGCCTGCCGTTAGAACGAGGAGAAGACAAGGCGGAGCGCCACCAGCGGCACCGGCAGTATGTGGAGGATCAGCGGGATGGCGTTATTTGCCGCCCGAAATGAAAACGAATGTGTCGGAGTCACACGGCGCATTGAGTGGAGTTGGACAGCGGGAGGAGTCAACTGTGAATGGTTCAAAAGGCAAGGCTCAGATGCTGATGGCTCCTGTCACGGTGGGGCGCCTGGGACTTGCGCCCCAAAGGGATCGAGCATTGCCCTCTTCGGATGGCAGTCGCGCCACCGGCAGTCCGGAAATCGAATCCGCTCAGGATGAAAAGTTGAAAGTCGCTGAGTCATCGGAGGGCGGTGGGACAGAGGGAGGAGCCCAGCCCCCAACACAGCCTGCCATTGGGGGGCGAAAAGGATCACTACCAACAAAACCAGCCGCAGTACCGGGCGAACAAATAAGACAAACAGCGGGGGCAGGAACCGCCGCAAGGGGCAGAAGGGTCTGACAGCCGACATGAAGTTTCATGGCCAGAGAATGGCGAGGGTAGCGCCAAAACACGATGTGGGTTCAAACACAACTTCTGCACAAGTACCGGGTGGTGCACCACAATAAGAATTGGGAGGAGAAGTTGCAGTAGAAGCAGCTGGTGTAGATGAGGCAGAAAGGAAAGAAGTTGCAGCACACCAAGACACCGTGCAGCATGCACCATCTCCCATTTACGAGAGGCCATCGCAGTCATCGTCCTTTTCAGATGGCAGCTTTGCTGCATTAGATTGGAAGGGGGAATGCACCGTGCAGGAGATTTCCAAACAGCCTCCACTTTCTGACGCTGCAGAGAAAATAGAAGACCGCCAGCGTGGAGACAAAGCGCCTGCTGCCGAGGCTGACAACAGCACCGCATTTATTACAGCTGCAGAGTTTAACGCCGCCGCCAGCAGCACCACGACCAATCATAATGCGAGCCATCTGAACGGAGAGGACGACGAACCCTCCACAGAAGAAGTGGAGAAGTAGAATGCAACAACAAAACCGAAGGCACATCAACCGGCACAGTTACCCCCGCAGGCCACAGTGAGGGGTTCAAGAGGGACACCGCCACCGCCACTAACAATATAAACACAGCTTTGCATGGCGACAGTGACAGCAGCACCGTAGTCTCCCACACCACCTCCCTTTTCTGTTTCTTGTTGCGTGTGCAGCAGCTCCTGCTGTGGTGGTGGCCGGGCCTGCATGAAATGGAGTGCGATGAATGTGGACGAAGGCCTACTGCAAATGAACTGCTTGTGGTGAATATTGGCTGCACTTCCCGTGGACCAACAATCCGCGTGGTGTGCGGGGATCTCCTTTTTTATTGTTACTTTGCTTTTGTGTTGCTGTGTGCGCTGCATCTATTCTCGTGTGTGTGCGCACCCTCCGTGAGGGGTGCAGACACGACGGACCGCTCTCGCCGTATGTACATGCGGTGGTGCCTTGTGTGCCGCTCCTGTTTGCTTCTCCCTCTTCCATCTTTGTGTTGGTGTTGCGGCAGGGCTGTGTGTGTGTGTGTGCCTGTTGCCGTGGATTGGAGTGTGTGTCGTGCGTGGTGTGCGGCGTACGGTGCATGCCTGGCTGCTGCCCTCTCCTCATGTGGTGTGCTCTCTCTGTGTGTCTGCCGCACCTCTCGTCTCCCCTGTTGCTTTCCATGTCCCTCACTGTGCAGATCAGCTCCACACCACTGAACGACCACACTCACGATGATGATGACGTGCCGTCTGCTGTGCGCCCTGTTGGTGCTCGCCCTGTGCTGCTGCCCGTCCGTGTGCGCGTCAGAGGATACGCCTGAACCGCTTGAAGATTCTTCCCAGACGAACACGACGACGATAACTCCGGCATCAACCCCGACATCTGCTCAGAAAGGTAATGTGTCGGGTGGCGGACATGGAAATACTGCAGGAACGGGAGGTGGTATGACCGATCCGGAACCGAAATTAAGTGCCATTCCCAATAATGTACAAGAAGAAAGTACGGAAGATACGAAGGAGCAACAAATTCGCACTGAACCATCCGCAGAACAAAAAAATAAGGTGTCTGAGACTTCTACGACCACGACGACCACCACCACACAGGCGCCAACCACGACGACCACCACCACTGCGCCAGAGGCACCAAGTACTACGACTACAGAGGCGCCAGCTGTGTCGAGCACCCGCGCACCGTCACGTCTTCGCGAAATCGACGGCAGCCTCAGCAGCTCTGCGTGGGTGTGTGCCCCGCTGGTGCTTGCCGCATCCGCGCTGGCGTACACCACTGTGGGCTGAAGAGGTGTGTGCGGGCTGTGCGTGCCAGCACCCAACCGCGGGGATTTGTGCGCGTGTGTTGTGGTCCACTGTATAAAATAAGAGGAAATAATGATTGTGTTTTGCTTCACTTGCTTCTGCTGCCGTGCTGTGTGCTCCGCGTTGTGCCCCGCATCCGTCACGTTGAACGCATCGCGGACACACTCATACGTATGCGCACTGGAGCCCTGGGTTTGTTTTTCTTTTCTTTTTAATTTCTGTTTTTTAATTATTGTTTTTTTATTGCTTTTTAAACTTGTGGTTTGCGGGGCGGTGTGCGAGCTCTGCAATTGTACTGATTCCATCTGTCTCGTGGTGTGTGCGCTGCTGCTGCTGGGGTGCTGCCATTTGTTGCTGTGCGGTGGCTGTGCGTGGTGTAGCGGCTGTGTTTATCTTTTTGCTTCCCTCTCTGTTGACGGGGCGTTAGTTTGTGCTGAAGGCTGCACGCAAGTGACAGGAGTGATGGCGATGATGACTGGCCGTGTGCTGCTGGTGTGTGCCCTCTGCGTGCTGTGGTGCGGTGACGAGGGTGTGGGATCTCCTGCTGGTGGTGCTGGCGGTTTACTTGGGAATGGTGGTAAAGGTGCGGTGGAGACTACTGATAATTCAACGTCAGCACCAGACAGCTCAGATCTAACAAAAGGTTTGCCCAAAGTTAATCAATCAACAGAAACATTTACAGGAAAATCTTTGGAAGTAGACGAAGTTAATGCTGAACAACAGGATGTTGCTCCTGGAGTGGAGGATGAAGATGGAAGCCCTTCAGACCATTTAGAAGAATCATTGAAAGATGATCCAGATCAAGGAAAAACAAAGCCAGAAATACAAAATAAAGGACAGGAAGGAAGACAAACGCCACAATCGCAAGTAAATGTACCACAGCAACCGCAGCCACTATTACATCAGTCACAACCGCTACCGCCATCAGCGCCGCAGCCACACACTCCTGCTTCAGAAAAGGGTGAAGGTGTTGGCGAGAACAATACGGGTGGAGAAGGTCAGCCCTCATTGAGAGTAGAAAATAAGGGAAACGAGGATCCAGAGAACCTCGGAAAAGAAGACTCATTAAATGATCCAGGTACAAAATCACAAAGCAGTGAACAGGTTCAAACGACAGTGCCAAACACAGTCCCGCCGGAGCACAAAACCCAAAATGGAATGTTAACTCCGGAACAAATGACGAATGAAAGCCAAAGCACGGATACATCCACGAACCTACCCGAAATACAAAAGGAAAATAAGGAATATCCTGCCTCTACGGAAGGTACGGCGCAGAGTACATCAAATGGCAGTCAAGAACAAGAAGCTGAGCCATCTACAAGCGAAGAACCTTCCCCTTTTGAGGAGGAACAATCCACAGGGACGAAGACAACCGAGGATGCTCGAACTCCGGATGCTGCCGCGACAGAAAAAAGCCAAACCGGCGATAATGAAAAGGTTGGCGACAGTGACGGCAGCACCGCGGTCTCTCACACCACTTCCTCTTTTTTGCTTCTTCTACTTGTTGTTGCGTGTGCGGCTGCTGCTGCGGTGGTGGCCGCGTGAGAGTGAGGGAGAGAGAGCCGTGCACCGCCCGCACACACACTCGTCCTTCACTCACTCTCTGTGTGTCCCCTTGCATGGACTCTCGCCCTCACCTCATCCCACGAAGCACACACATAATGTGCCCATTGTATATATTGCATGCACACCCATGCAGGCCCGTTGGTGCCCTCTTTTGCACCACACGCACCGCTGCCGTCCTGCCTGGCTGCATGGGCGGAGCACCGTAACTGTTTCTGTTTTGTTTTTATTGCATTGAGTGGGCGACCTCTCTCTCTCTCTCTCTCCATGTGTGTGTGTTTTGCTTTACGGGAGCCATGAGAGTGTGTGCGCTGGTCGTCCCACGCCGCGGCTTTTTGTTTTGTTTTCTGTTTTTCTTCTTTGAGTCTCTGCTTGTGTTGTGGGTGCACGCACCGATTGCACTTTTATTGATTGGTGGCTTGCTTTGTGGACGCCTGATTTTTTTTTTTGCATTCTTGTACGGTTTCTCTCTTGTTATTAGTGTGTCAGCCCCTTGTGGCTTTGGCAAGCCACCAATTGCTCTCTTCCACATACACCTTGCGTCAGTGGGTCCACGTCACTCCGCGGCCTGCAGCGCTTCTGGTGCTGCTGTTGATGTTGCCTGCGATGTGATTTGCCGGCGGTTGCCGCGTTGTCATCCTGACGTATCCCTGTTTTCTTGTCGATGTGGTGCCTGCCGACAACGCGCGGCAACTCGGTTGTGGTGAGGGTCGTGCGTCTCAGAGCGCAGGATGCGTCGCGGGTGTGCAGCCTCGCTTGTAAGCACCGATGGGTGTCTGTCCCCGTGAAGACGTCATCAACGGCCCCGGATGGCAGCAGGAGGCACTGCGGCATTTTTTGTGTTCCACAGCGACTTTATTGGACGGTACTTTTGCTTTGCAGCTCTTGGGGCCTTTGTGGGAGAAGGTGGGAGGCTGAGGGCATTAGGACTGAATTCATTTGAGCGGCTGCGTTCCGTTGACTTGCGGCCAGTCGTGGCACTCTTTTGTGGTTTGGCCGCTCGTCTCTTTTTTTTTACTTCCCGTTGCAGCACGTGGAGGCCACTGATCCGAGGAACATTTGTTTGACCGAGCGTGAGCTGCTGCCGTGCGTGGTGCATGGAGTGACGACTACTTCTGTTTGGCGTGTCGCGGTGTGTTGGAATGATGTTTGGATGACTTGTGAGGGGTGTTGTTTTCAATTTTTTTGTCTTCTCTGGTGGAGCCGACATGTGTGCGGGGATTGTGGCATTGCTGGCTGGCAGTTCCACGCCACTTTTCAGCATTTCTGGATGTGCTGAGGAATGACGGCTGGCGCCCAGCGTGTTGGCACTGCCGGTGGGAATAAGTGCATCGGGAATAGGCCATTTTCTCTTTCCTGTGCTGGAGCCGACGAACTGGCACGAGGGCACCGGCTGCAGGCTGCCTGCCAGCACGTGTGAGCAGCGGATCCATGCACACACAGACGCTCATCGCAATAGCTTGTGCGATCACAGTGGCCTTTTGCGGCGTGCTTTTGTGGACGTCAGTCCATCGAAGAATGCGTGAACCAAACGGCTGACTGCACACGAGGGAAATAAGTGCGTGCACTGTGCCGTGTTTCAGCGTCGATGGCAGGGCGGCAGGAAGCCCGTGCTGGCAACTGAGATCTTTGCGTCGCGAGGGATGTCGGTGTTGATTTTGGATCGTCGAGGGTAAAATGATTTTGCTGCTGCCCGTGTGTGTGGCCACTCCGGCAGAGGGCGGACGCAAACGGGAGGGATGCAGGCGCTGCGTGTGTGTGTGCAGGTGCCATGCAACAACGTCACAACAAACATGCTGCGACTCGGTGACCCTCACATCGCTGTGGTCCTCACGAACAGCCGAGGCACGGCCCACATCGATGCACTTAGTGGACGGAGTGAGGCATCTTTTGAGGTGCTGCAGGGAGCAGGATGTGTTGGCGCAGCCACGACGTGCATGGAGTGTCACGATGGCACAGTCAGCTGTGGCTGGTGGAATATTTACTTCTCGGAGTCAACAGAGAGAGAGAGCTACTCCTGCTGCTGGCGTCGTTGCTGCCTTTTGTGGTCTCCCATGCCGATTATTGTCTGTCCGCTGATCATGGGTGGTGTGCCTCCACTAGTGACGTCGTCTGCAGGCATTTCACAGCACCAGTGAAACACACATCACGTCGCATGCTTTGGCTGTGGATATGGTGTCGTGCATGCAGCCGGCATTATTTTGCCCGACTCCTTTTCACTGCTCTGCGACAAATAGATGCGTCACCGCCCGAGTCATTCACTGCAGCTGCGTGTGCTGTGCTGCCAGCACAATACTCTCCTGTTGTCCGACGCCTGACTGACAGTCAAACACCACTGCGTTGGGACATGCAAGGATGTGGACTGCCGCTCACGGTGTTGGGCACCGCTGTTTGGATGCGGCGGCCACACGAGCGGATGTATTGTGGCACAATCAAATGCGTGAAATACGCGGAGTCACAGCGGCTGCAATAATATTGACGGTGTGGCACCACGGAATGTGTGAGGGGGTGATGCATGATGAATCACAGTGGGCGGCATGCGAGGGAAGTGCACCGCGACGGAGCGTCATCCCGCCCTCAGCCTGCAGGGGAATGTACACCCACAAAATATATGGACGAGACACCACCAAACAGACATGCCCTTCCATGCAGCAATAAATAGGAGCGATCGTGCGCTCTGGTGTGTGGGAGTCCACTCACATATTTTCATCTCCACCGCAATAAACGGTGAGGAATCGGGTGCCACAGCAACGAAAGAAGAAATAAAAACGTCTATTGCAGCAACTTACCAGCGAACAGCAGGAACAACACAAACCGAATTATTGGCTGCACCAACACAAGAAACATTCACAAGAAGAAACAAATAATTTTGCACCTTGCGGAAATCCCCAACACACGATCCAGGCATGAAGGTTTGCACACACTCAAAAAAAAAAAAGCATGCAGACATCCGCCAACATCCAAACGGAAACACAATAGATGTTTGCTTTCATTATTCCATTCCTTGCGCTTATTTTTACGTGTGCGTATGCGGCTGCGGTGGTGGCCGGGCCTGCATGAATTTGAGTACGCCGGATGTGGACGAAGGCCTACTGCAACTGAACTGTTTTTGTGATGAATATTGGCTGCACTTCCCGTGGACCAACAATCCACGTGGTGTGCGAGGATCTCCTTTTTTCATTGTTACTTTGCTTTTGTGTTGCTGTGTGCGCTGCACCTTCTTGTGTGTGTGCGCACCCTCCGTGAGGGGTGCAGACACGACGGACCGCTCTCGCCGCATGTACATGCGGTGGTGCCTTGTGTGCCGCTCCTGTTTGCTTCTCCCTCCTCCATCTGTGTGTTGGTGTTGCGGCAGGGCTGTGTGTGTGTGTGTGCCTGCTGCCGTGGATTGGAGTGTGTGTCGTGTGTGGTGTGCGGCGTACGGTGCATGCCTGGCTGCTGCCCTCTCGTCTTGTGTGGTTTGCCCTCCGTGTGTGTCTGCCGCACCTCTCTTCTCCTCTGTTGCTCTCCATGTCCCTCACTGTGCAGATCAGCTCCACACCACTGAACGACCACACTCACGATGATGATGACGTGCCGTCTGCTGTGCGCCCTGTTGGTGCTTGCCCTGTGCTGCTGCCCGTCCGTGTGCGTGGCAGAGACTCCGGAGATCACTGCTGATGCTGAGGTCGAAGCTGAACCTACTGTAACCGCTACGGTCACATTGTCCCCTGTACGAGACACTGAAACGATTCAAGTTTCTGGTGCTATTCCAAAGTCCGCCAGTCCATCGAGCCTTCCACAAGAAAAAGCATCACGAGGGGATGGTGAGTCAGAGCCGCCAGGTCCGGGGTCCGTTGCAGAGCCGAGAAGAGGTGCCGGAGCGGGAAAACGTTTGACCGCTACGTCACCAAAACCAGATGAGGCGGCTAGTGCGTTACAGACAAAAGGCAACAACGGTACGACAGGGTTACAAAGTGACACGAATAAATCCGCAGAAGAAACAGATCAGGAAGCCGAAGTTCCCGCAGAGACGACAACAACGAAAACCACAACGACGACTACAACAACGACACCAACCACTTCCACAAAGGCACCAACGACAACTACCACGACAACCACGACCACCACTACAACACATGCACCAAGTACTACGACTACAGAGGCGCCAACTGTGTCGACCACCCGCGCACCGTCACGTCTTCGCGAAATCGACGGCAGCCTCAGCAGCTCTGCGTGGGTGTGTGCCCCGCTGGTGCTCGCCGCATCCGCTCTGGCGTACACCACTGTGGGCTGAAGAGGTGTGTGCGGGCTGTGCGTGCCAGCACCCAACCGCGGGGATTTGTGCGCGTGTGTTGTGGTTCACTGTATAAAATAAGAGGAAATAATGATTGTGTTTTGCTTCACTTGCTTCTGCTGCCGTGCTGTGTGCTCCGCGTTGTGCCCCGCATCCGTCACGTTGAACGCATCGCGGACACACTCATATGCATGCGCACTGGAGCACTGGGTTTGTTTTTCTTTTCTTTTTTTAATTTCTGTTTTTTAATTATTGTTTTTTATTGCTTTTTAAACCTCTGGTTTGCGGGGCGGTGTGCGAGCTCTGCAATCGTACTGATTCCATCTGTCTTGTGGTGTGTGCGCTGCTGCTGCTGGGGTGCTGCCATTTGTTGCTGTGCGGTGGCTGTTCGTGGTGTAGCGGCTGTGTCTTTATTTTTGCTTCCCTCTCTGTTGACGGGGATCTAGTTTTTGCTTTAGGCTGCATGCAAGTGACAGGAGTGATGGCGATGATGACTGGCCGTGTGCTGCTGCTGGTGTGTGCCCTCTGCGTGCTGTGGTGCGGTGCCGGCGGTGTCGGATGCGCTGAGCGCTTGGCAGCTGCTGCCGATATACCTGTTGATTCTGCGAGTGGTGGTGGAGGTTTGCTGGAAACGCCACCGCCAGTGCTGTCACGTTTACTTCCAGGAGAAACTGACGATGCTGAAGCCGAAGATGAAAATGAAAATCAATGAGTTGCTGGAGATGAAGAAACAGAGAAAGGGAGTGAAGAAGAAAAGTCTGCAACTGTGCTGGGCATTACAAACGGCACTCTGATTAGGCTTCAGCAGGAAGCACCACACACCATTACAGGCAAAACTTCGGCAGGAAGCGTTTAAGTTGCTGATGTGGAAGGAGTTGGAGAAGAGGAAAAGGTTGAAGAAAAAAAAGGTGATAAATTCAAAGAAGATCTTGGAATCACTCCGTTGGCGGTGACTGAATCGAATCCGACTGACGAAGAGAACCCACGGCCACAGCCACCGAATGAAAAATAAGAAGGTGAGGCGGCGAACCCCTTAAATGGCAGCTCGCCGGGACTTGGAGTTCAGCAACAAGTTTTATCGGGT